GTAAAACTAAACTTGCACAATACGATACATAGCTACACGTGACTTCTCCGTTTTTGGCTGTAGCATCATTGAAAGCCCCACCCCGCAGGTTGATGGGACTGGTTCCTTATGTCTGTAATGTAACACACCCTGAAGTCTGACTCCATGTTCTCGAGACTGTAATTGGTAATTGGGCTGGACCTTGATATCCATAGTGCAACAATATTGACGGATTGATGATTGGTTCTTTGATAATTGGTCATCAGTAATGTGGATATAATGACTATGTGGGTAAAGGCAAATAATAGAACAGCTAGAACAGTCTGGTAAGTTCAAAAGATTACATCACTCTACTGAAATGGAGCCTTTAAAAAAAAGGAAAACACAACATCTGATATAATATTTCCAAAATCTAAAGCTCGGTTTATACTTGGTAATTACATGTGTCTAGGGTGATCCAGTCACAAGAGGACAGCGCTAAATGCAAGTGTGAAGGACCACTAAGGGTGCTTTCACACCTGCCCTGTTTGGTTCGGTTCAATCAAACTCAAGTTTGTCTGCCCCCTGAGTGTGGTTCGTTTGGGCAGGTGTGAACACAGCAATCACACTCAGGTGTGCACCAAAACAACCGGGCCTAGACCTTCTTGAAGAGATGGTCCCGGCCCGGGTACAGCCGAACTCTGCGGTTCGTTTGTGGTGAGAACGTGTTCCGACCTGGATCTGAACCAACTGCAGTCACATGACACATTGTTTGGGTTAAACATGAGCATGTTACAGTCCTGGAGGATTATTAATGTGCGCCTCCTCCTGTACTGCCTTAATATGCACATTCAGCACATCCAATGCATCAAAACATTGTTGTATGGTTTGACTAAAATGAACAATGACAGCAATATAGTCCACGATGAGCAGCGCTAAAATCAACCTGCGTAGTTGTCCCTCCATTGTGACATTAGAAAGTGTCACATTTATCTTGCAAGTGTACTCTTCTTCAATGTTTTGTTTACTTCCTGGATTTTTTCCACATGAAAATTCTGACCGATCAAGAGCAGCTTTCTCATGCAGGCATTTTATCTGGTCCGCTTGTAAATGCTGCCGTGAGAACACGAGCCAACTCTAGGCAATTATGCAACTTTGTGAAAAAAAACCTGCCCTGGATTCAGACCAAAGCGAGCGAACTCCAGGTCTGAAAGCACCCTTGGACCCACTGTGATCGGATCGCTGAAACCAGTGGTCAGGGACGCATTTGATTGCATATCTGTAGTAATGTAAACTCTAATGTGCACTCCAGATGCACCCCCGACAAGGACTACATCATCACCTTTGACCTTGTAGCACAAGTGATGTAGGTAGTTATGAAATCTGAACCCATGTTACTACCAGGTGTAAACGCAGTGTAAACAGGCTTTCAGACAATCCCATGTCTCATATCACAATATCAATATATTGCCCAGACCTAACTGGCACACTGCAGTTCCAGGGCGGAAATGCTCAGCCATGGCATCGACTGCTTATTTCGCTCATGATGTCTTGCAGCATGTAAAAACACCATATGGGCATGTTAACAAGGTTGAAAACTTGAATTTCACTGGAGGGGGTTTTGGAGAGTTCAGGAAACATTTAATGATGCACACTTGAGAATAACAGCGAGCATAGATACTCTCACCTCCAACCTTCACTTAATGATCCAAACTAAGCCTCTATGAGAAGTCTGAGATTTAACTTCTCAGTCAGAGGGGTCAGTCTGGAAAGTTTCCCTACAGATTATCAAGTGTCCTTTTGTCCAAAGTTTCCTCATAATAAAGAATATACAGTATATGTCTCCAACACTGCTGTTGTGCATCTCCTGTGGAGGTGACGCAACATCCTCCATCTCTGATGTGAACCACAGCTCAGCTTCCAGACTGCAGTGTGTCCAGCTGTGAGTGAGTATCCCTGTTTCCCTGACAAACATTCAACATTTCTGGAGTGCAAGTGCAGGCTGAACAACACAGCAACAGAAAATCTGAAGCTACGCAACCAGAATTAAATACCTGTCTTCACGCATGTTGCAAATACAACATGCGAGCATAGAAAAGCAGTGGTACGGACGCCAACACAAACTGAATGTGCAGCTGTTGCTTCGAAAGAATGGGGAAACACATGACAGTGAAACTGTGACCTTGGACGAAACCTGGAGCATCTGAATAACATGTGTTGTCCGGCTTCAGAGGTCATTCACAGTGCAGAGAACTGGTGGTTACACAGGACTGCTCTGTGCGGGAAAGGTACCAGGGTTGAGTGAACCATCCTTGTCAAAGTGTCCTTGAATGTGGGTCACAACGCCAAAACTCACATGCTCCAGGACTGCTGCCCCTGCACGCTGACCCTTCCGCTAAAACAGTTTATCTAATGCTACGCCTCTATCTCCAGTGTTTATTGTTCCGGACTGATCTTTTTTTTTTTTGTCAGACTGTTTACACAGTTTTTTGTAATGTGGCCAATATCTGACGGCAGTCTAACACAAGTCATTCCTCTGAGCTGATCCACATGTGCCAAACAACAAAACAAAATATTTAACACTTGGCACGCTCATGCTGAAGTCGACAAATAAAAGGAGGACATTTTTATTAAAGTGGCTGGTTTGTCATTGTGCAGCTACACTGTGTGATAGCTGAGCTCATCATATATGATATAATAAGCGTTCGTAGGATCGTCCACCCCAAGAACGATAACTACAGGCTTGTGTCCACGTGGTGTTTTTATTTGGCAGGAAATCGTTGGCAGGGTGCTAGGGAGTGCTTCAACCCAGAACGCTCACGGGTCACATTAGCTCAAATCTTGTTTGCCTAAGAATAAGATGACCCAGACACCAGATAAATGTTGGCAGTGTAAATTTCTACTAACTGTGTCATATGTTGCAAACACGTTAAAACGCTTTGTTTCTATACATTTCAATTTCAATTCAAAGTGTGGTTATATTCAGTCTGCTTCCTGGCAGCTGTCTCGCCTCGGTGTCGTGCCATCCATCATCCTCTCCACCTCCTGAAGAGCAACTCAGCTCATATACACATAATCAGAACTGCATCACTCTCGAAATACTAATATGATACGTATGAAACATACAAATGAACTCTATCTGTGGTTTGCAGAGACCTACAATGCCAACATTTCCTTCTCGTGACTGGACTGAATAAGAACAACATATGGAAAGGACCAAAGCCTGAATGCACACAGCTCTAAGTACAAGAATGTGACGTTGATATGTGAAGGACCAGATTGCAAACTAGAGCGTACATCATATCTGATAGTCCAAACCAAACTTGAGTCCCCGTTCGCATGATACGGTTGTATGTTATCTCACACTGTCAATCACGGTCTGTAACGCACATTGCTCAACGCGAAGCCAGGTGTTCTATAGGCTGCACGCTTTGCATTATTAATCAGCACGCCTTGTTGCTCCCACTTAGCAATTTGTAAGCATTTTGCTCGCAGCTCTGTGCAACCAAACACCACCGACTGACTGACTGCCCTGCATCACTTCCAGATATTCAACCAGGCAGCCGACTGAGAGGAACCAGCAAACACTCATGATATCATGCTGTTCGTCTACCATTTGTGTGTTTGTTGTACCAAAAAACATTTCTCTGCCTAAGGAAACTGGGGCCACAAAAATTATTTTCATTATCAATCAATCTGCCGACAATTTGCTCTGTTAATCTATGAAATATGTAAAATACCGTCACGATTTGAGATCCCAAGCTGACATATTTAAAGGTCTCGTTCAGTCTGCCCAAAACCCAAAGGTAATTAACTCACTGTCATTTATGACAAAGAAAAGCAGAAAATCCTCACATTTAATAGGCTTGAATACCAAAACAGTAATTCCTTTGTGAAGTAATCAATTAATCGACTAATCACTTCAGCTCTGCAAGTAACACCCCATGCCATTAAACACTAAATGCACTAACAGTACAAATGTGAACATATGTGACTATACAAATAAGACAGACTAAGCTACGCATATTAATATGAGGATGTTTTCACTGCCTTGCTATCACAGAAGCAAGTCGTCCTGATTATATGGAAGTGCTCTGTTGAGAGTAGAGCAACAAGGGGCACTTGAGATCCAAAACAAACATGTTCAACCACCTAATTTTCATTCAGTCATCTCTCCTACACCTGTGTCTGACTTGTTTCAAATTCAGGAGAGGACACTTGGTAGTAGAGGGCAGTGGGATTGTAGCTACACATTTGTGTGAGAGGAGCAACCAGCCCTGGTCTGTGCCTCTCTTGTATTTACTGTGTCTCTGGGAAAAAATATATCTGGTGATGCTTTAGTCGCCAAGAAGATTGTTTGACTAAACTTCCTGCTCTTATACAGATACGCTCCCAAAATCTGTAAAGACTCTTTTAACCATATGGGTAAGAAAATACTCTGTTTGCGGTACGATGAAAAAGAAATTACAACTATCGTTTGTGTGTCTGTGCAACAGCAGAAAAATATTAGTGTGTGATTTTGTATGAAATGCTAAGTAGCATCAATATATCAAATATAACCAATATCAAAATTTGCAAATTTTGGTTCAGGCTGTTTTAGAGCTTTACATCTTTATTCTGTATTTTTGTTCTATGTTGTCTGTCTGCCTGTCTTAGCCAGGACACTCACAGGTTTTTCTAGTTGAATTAAATAATAAGTAACATTTTATGGCTACCATTTTTGTTTTAATTTGCAAACAGCAACTTTTTGATTGTGTGGCAGAACATTTTCTTCCCCCAGATGGTTAGAAGAGTCTTTAAGAGCACCAAGAAATGCTATAAAACAAACCTCTAGGCTTTTCAGACATTGCCAAGTATATTTTTCAGTGCAACAGATTATCTCTCTGAATCCAAAGTAAAAACATGAAGCGCAAACTGGAGGGCAACCCCGTGCATGCTCACCCATCAGTATGCCGTCCTCACTGAGTCCAGCATGCAAAAATATCTTTGCATGCAAGGCAGCCGGTGGAACAATGTCCATGTGTATGAATCATGAAACTCACCTGTATAACCTGCGATCCAGCCCCACGAAGACACCATGGCCAGCAACCATTTGAACATGACTCCCTCGATGTGCCAGAAAGTGGAGCTGTCCCATATTCTCACGGGCTGCAGCAGCACCAGGTATAAGCAGTAGGATGGGATGGCTACACAGTTGTTGAAGAACATGAAGACGAAGCGGAGCACAGACTTGAGCAGAATCCAGCACAGTTTGCCGGCCCCGTCCAAGAGCTGTGCCATCCTGATAAACACCGTCTGTAACAGAGAGACAACAGCAGCAGCAGCGGCGGCACCAGCAGCAGCAGTTAGCATCTCGGCTCGGCTTGTTTGACAAAAGAGGAGTCATGTGTGCACACAGCGTTATCCTTACTGTAAACAAACTGATGTGCTCTGAGCAGGACGCAAATCCGCAAATAACCCGGTGTTACAGCACACACACACACACACACACACACACAGAGGAGAGAGGAGAGAGTCTGCCGCTAACCGGTTGAGGGTGAGGCTATTTCACGGAATATAAATGTAACACACACGTCGCGGACACTGTCCTCTAATTATTAATAAAGACGGTGTACTCCTCAGTGTGGCTGTTTGTTTTTGGTGAATCCCTGCTAGCTAGCTGCCCTGCCTTTACACTAGTGCATGCAAAGACAGGACCATAAAAGGACCAGTCGCACGGGACGTGGTCGACGACTTTATGACATGCTAGCTAGCAGCAGGCTGAGTTAGCATAACTGGAACAGATGTTAGAAAATATGTAATGACAACCCGCTGGCTATAACATTGCAAAACACACCGACACACACAACCGAGGTGACGTTAGCTGCTAATTTATATATTTAACGTTAAATACCAAACGTTAACTCGGGTGTCTAGTGGCTGGTGCAAAGCGCAATACCCGTGTGTGCCCCTTCCAGAAAATAGCCCGACCCTGTGTTATTGTAAAAGTGTGGTTACTCACCCAGTTAATGTCACTGAAGCATCCAAGGACGGCCAGAGATGTAGCTAATTGTTGGAGCGAGATAAACTGTGTCACGTGTGGCTAACCTTAACGGTTAAGTTAGCATCGTTTGCTAGTTGACATGGTGAGCCTCTCTCAAATCAGGGGACAGGGGCGGTAATGTCTGGTAACGTTACAGCAAACCGTGTGCGATGAAACTGCAGCAGCACCCATTTAGCTAACGTTATCCAGGGGCTGCTCGCGCACACTGAACCCCGGCGGGCACCGTTAGCTCGCTAGCTAGCTAGCAAGCAACTCCACTTGAGCGTCGCTGGCTCCATCTCAGTCAGAGACACCGGGATTATTCCACTGATGCATCATCATCATCATCGTCAAGTTAGCTAGCTACTGAGCTCCCATTAGCGAATACGGACGAGAGGCGGTACGGGTCGGGCCTCGGATCAACGCTGACAGCTACACAAACGCGACCACAGGCTTTAAACGACATATGCACATCAAAGACGGAGATCGGCGGTTTTTTGTTTCTGGACTGGCACGAGCCGTTATCTTTCTGCAGACCTCGATTCACACAGAGGCGTCAAGGTACACACGAGATCAACAGAGTCAGGGCGGAAGTGAGCCCCCTTTACCTTCAAAATAAAAGCATCGGATGGAGACCAGTGTTGAGATTGGATTTTATTTTTAGGAAAATAACTTGACCCAAAATAACCCTTTTTATTTTTCTTATTTTTTTATATTAATACTAAATAAGTAAAACAGTATATAGAAAAATATTTTAATTGATTTATTATTTATTTTGCTTGATTTTCTTTTTAAGAATTCTTGTTAGATTCTGCTCAGTATGTTGTATTCTAATGACTTGACCTAAAATAACCCTTTTTAACTTTATTAATTTTCATATTAATACTTAACAAGTAAAACATTATATAAGAAAAATATTTTAATTGTTTTATTACTTATTTTGTTTATTTGATTTTAATTTCTTGTTAGATTCTGTTAAGTATCTTGTATTTAAATTACTTGACCTTAAATAACACCTTTTTATTTATTTTTTTTTTACCAATTTTTATATCAATACTAAACAATTAAAACATTATATACAGAAAATTATATTTCAATTGTTTTATTATTTATTTTGTTTGAAATTTTTAAATTTCTTGTTAGATTCTGCCCAGTAATTTGTATTTTAATAACTTAACCTAAAATAATCCTTTTTATTTATATTAACTTTTATATCAATACTAAGCAAGGGAAAAAAGAGAGTTGAATGATGTAGGCAACTAGAGACTGTCTGGTGATGGGATCATTCCAGCAGCGATACACCAATCCAAGTCCTAAAACAAATGTGGGCAAGGATCCAGGGGAGGGGGTTGGGTGCAATGGCCCCTTTCCCACTCCTTCCCCTCTACTATCAGCTTTCTATTACCCTTTTTCCACCAACATGGAACCTCTTCCATTCTGATTCCTGCACCTAATTTTGAACCATTCAGAGCATGTCGATCAAAACTAAATTGGTTCAGGACCCAAAAATTTGGGTTCTCAGCTGGAACCAAAACAAATAGCAGGTCTCCCTTGACCTAAAGTGTGAATGGTGATAACATTAGTGGGCATATTCTAGAGGTTGGAAAAAGAGGATGGAGTCTTACAGGAAAAGCTCCTCTACATCTTTTTATCATTAATAGTTGGTCCATGGTTGTTTTGGTGCACCCCACCTGTTGCCCACTGTCAGCTGGAATAGGCTGTAGTCACCTGCAGCCCTGAATAGGATAAGCATTTACAGATGATGAATGAATGTTTACTTCTGTTGTGCATTGTGCAACGCCCTCAAGTTGATGACACATCCTTAATTACAAAGGTTCCACAGAAAATTGGTGGAAACACAAGCTGGTTTGTTCGATTGCACCAAGGTTCCAAGAGTGTTAAATGGGACTAGTTCAAGAACCAGAGCTAATTTGGTGGAGAAAGGATAGTAGTGATTTCAGCTATGTACCTGTAAAGTTTTATGACTGCATCTTGCAAAATTGCAACGCAATTGTGACGACAAATTCTGTCCCCAGAAAGACAGGTGGACATATACACACCTGGCAAAATACTTAAAACAGCTTCTGTGGTACTTCCCGCTACAACAAGACCCCTTTTCCACCATCATGGAATTGGTTGCGTTCAACGTCACATACCTAATTTTGAACTGTTCAGAGCATTTTTTTACCAAAAATAAATTGGTTTGGAACTGGAAACTTCGTTCCCTGAAGTGTGTGAGTACTAGAAAATCAGTGGGCATGCCATATTCTAGAGGTTGGATGCTTGGTTTTTGGATAAAAGCAAATATCTTTAACTAATAGGTCATAAGTTATCAATGCAAACTGCCATCGTGCTCCCACTGTTTACTTCCATTGTGTACTGTGCAACACCCTCCACTGGTGACGCATTCTTGATTACAATGGTGGAAATGGGGTATGGTACTCTGGATAGCATTACGGTTCCAATAATCATGAACAGAGCTGATTCAAGAGCCAGAACTAATGTGGTGGAAAAGGGGCATGAGTGTCACCAGGAACACATTTTGCCATGGTAACACACAAACACAGAATCACAAGGTGAAAATATTGTCATAGCTGGTATATAAAAGAGCCAGACGAATCTGTTAGGGGGTCCATGGGCAGAAATTTGCTGCTGGGCTCCTGTCAACTCCCAACCAGACAAATTTAGTTCTTAATAGCTACAAAACAGGGTCACAGCACTTGTGATAATACAAGACCCATATTAGTTGATATTTTACTTCAGTGGAACAGATTCCCTAGAAAATAAAGTTTCGAAAAATACCCTAAATCTAGTGTGATACACTGAAGCATGACCAGCATTGGAAATTACATCAGTGCATATTGTCAGAAGAGAGACAGTGAATGCATAAAAACCTTAAATAAGTGTACACATTTGGAAAAGAGAAAAGAAATATATCAAAATGCAGAATAACTGAGTTCAAAATCAAGAAAAGCAGTCAGTTTAGTTAATGAGTGTCTACTAGAACACTGCATTTGTTTGTTGAAGGGGAACACTATGTTAATTTAGAGTGTCAGTATGTTATTTCCAAGGTTTGGGTAAGTTCAATCAATATTTGAGAACATGAGCTACTCTCTTTCAAAACCAGAAACCAGAAAGGTAAGGCTTAAAATTGTGATGTCATAGGGCAGGGGTGGGCAACCTGCGGCTCCAGAGCTGCATGCTGCTCTTTAGCCCTTCTCTAGTGTGGCTTTGACAAAAAAATATACGGGAATTAATGACTGTTATTTTATTTCAGCATTTTAATTTTCATTTATTGTTGTAGGCCTAAAGTGATTCTTACATTCTTCAACTGTAAAAACGCGAAATTTAATGGCGTGTGGACAAATTTGTGAAGTTAAAGGTATAAATAATTAAAATAGCCCTCTGCAGAACAGCCACCTTGTGCTAAAACATATGAATGAATGCTCATTTAGACCTATTAGTAAAGTTGATAGGCTAAACTTGACTTGAATTCGACTGTGTTATCTTTATTATGAGGCTCAAATATGTTTTGCAGCTCCAGACAGATTTATTTTTTCTTTTTTGGCCAAAAATGGCTGTTTTGATAGTAAAAGTTGCCGACCCCCGTCATAGGGCATCAAGTCCGGAGCTGTTTCATTGACAATGAGTGGGAGCCTAATTTGTGAACCCACACAATGTTTGTTTTCTTTTTCTATCCAAATTATCTTTACTCTATTGTAGTGTTCTGAGTGTTTTGCTCTAATCCAAGATGTTTTTCTGTGATTTGTAGAATTTGGTGTTTATGGTTCATGATGGTTCTCACCTGATACCCTGTCATAATGCTTGTTCTACATTTGAGATGTGTGTTCTATAGATTTGGGGATCTCTGATTAATCTCATTCACTATGTGATTAAATTGTAATTTGATACCTCTATAAGGTCTTTCTGTATTCACTGTGCTCCACCCTCTTTCTTGTATTCTGGTATTTGACAAGACAAGTATGGCTGCCATTTGTATGCCTCACTGTCTGCCATTCAGTACATAAGAAAAGCTACAACCCCCAGAAGGCGGAGCTTCTACCACCAGGGTAGTGCACAGGTGTGTTACATACTACCAGTGACTAGACTGAGTTTGGTTACTTTGACCTGCCTGTCCAATGTTGCCTTACACCGATTGGCCAAAACATCAAAACCACTGACAGGTGAAATGAACAACATTGATCATCTTGTTACAATGACTTTGCTTGCATTTCTTGAAGACGTTTCGCCTCTCATCCAAGAAGCATCTTCAGTTCTAAACGACTGGCATGAAGTTGCAGGCTATAAACCCTGTGTGGGTGGGGAACCCTTGCAGAGTCGTGGGGGTCACATGAGCTCTTACTTTCAGAGTTGTTAAAGTCACAATGTGAGTCGTTGACCAACCTAGCCACCATGTGAGTCAGTCTTGTTACAATGCAATGTTGTGTTGGGAAATCTTGGATTCTGACATCCATGTGGTTGCAACCAGACACGCTCCACCAGTGCAGACCCTGTACCCAGCCTCATGGGAATGGCACTCCCCAGAAGCATTGGCTCCCCAACAGGACAATGCACCATGCTACAAAAAAACTGCTCAAGAATGGTGGTCAAGGTGTCAACATGTTCTCCATATTCCCTGGATCCCGTCTGATCAAACATCTTTGGGACATACTATTACCCCACCTCACAACTCACAGGACTCAAAAGATCTGAAGCCAATTCATTGGTGCCAGACACGATCAGACACCCCCAGAGGTTGTGTTCATGCCTTGACAGGTCAGAGCCAAGTCCAGTCCTATGAGCAACCACTGTGGATCAGGGGGTACCTCTGGGGTACCAGCACGCCCCTCAAATGTTCGAGCAGGTTGGGATCTGGGGTGTTTGGAGGTCAGGTTGACCCCTTGAGCTCTTTGTCCCGTTCCTGGGGTCATATCTGAGCAGTTTTTGAACAAGTGCCATTGCCGTGAGGGGGTTTACTTGGTCTGCAATGGTGTTCGGGTGGGTGGAGTGCATCAGGTAGCATCCACATGAATGCCAGGACCCAAGGTTTCCCAATGTAATATTGCACTGTAACAAGATGATCAATGTTGTTCACTTCACCTGTCAGTGGTTTTGATGTTTTGGCTGATCAGTGTGTGTATGCTCTGATGAAGGTCAAATAGACTGAAAGCTCAACAGTAAAGTGAAACATTGCAGAGATGTAAGTGTGTGGACATCTTTTTCTACCATTTTTCTCAGTCCAAAATATCCCCATATACTCAGAACATTCCCCTGGGTGCTCTCATCTACATCTTTCTCAATTCACTGTCTGTGAAGCAGCTCCAGACTTTATACCCCATTACATCACAAATTTGGCTTTTAGCACTCTAGTTTTTGGATTTGGGGTAAAGTTGTTCATGTTTGCATATATTTTTGGACTGTCTAAGACCATAGGAATAAGATGTATGAAACTTACAAATTGGGGAAGTCCCCCTTTAATGTTGCCCGAAGATCAACCTGAAGAAAGTCAACCTGTGAATTTGCTTCTACTTACAATATAAACGAAATTTTTAAGAGATTTCTTTGGTTTTGACGTCACAACATTTCACCTTGCGTTCAGTAAAAGCAT